AACCCAAAAAAAAAAAAAAAGAAAAAAAACTTGAATTTAACCCAGTTTTACTATTTTCAACATTATCAATATATATTAATCGATTATTTTTATATATCACATCAAGTTTATTTTATTATTAATCTGCTCTCGTAATTTTAATTACCAGTCGCTTCACATAATTTTTCCCCTACTTTTATACAAATCAACTTTAATTTATTTATTTTAAATATTATTTTAATATAAACTCAAAATTCCACTGACCACCTTTTTAAAATTAAATATGACTAAAAAAAAACCTAATCAAAACCATATCAATTCTATATTCAATCACCCCAATATGCTCATTTATTGCATGTTAATATTTTGGATTTTTTTAATGTCATTTCAATTCTATATTCAATCACCCCAATATGCTCATTTATTGCATGTCAATATTTTGGATTTTTTTAATGTCATTTTTAATCCGTATCTCTGTTCTTGTATAGAGTTTACTCTGTATTTTAGAACTTTAGCGTAAAATGAAGCAAAAGTGGAGTTTCGTATTCAATTGTTTTACGCTATAATTTGAGCTCTTATGATATCCCACTAGTCATTTTGTATAACTAGTATTCGATCATGTGCATATGCACAAATGCAAATTTATTTTATTCGTTATATATGTGTGTTTTATGTAGAAGTTAGCATCATAAATTATATAATAAGCATATCACATTTACAAATTTTATCACGACTAAAATGACGATATAAATATAAACTAGTTAACTTATATATTAATCTTTAATTTTATGCATTCTCGGTTGATTATGACAATTAAATGGATAAAAAGTATGTTATTATAATAGCAATTATGCACAGAAACTTTAAAGGGTTTGGTTGCCGTAAAAAATAATTAACTAATTTTTCATAAAAAATACTTGATTAATGAGAGAAAAAAATAGTAATTTTAAATATATAATTTGAAAAAAGCTTTAAAATAGAATAACATTTAATGTGTCTTCATTATTAGTTAATAGTAACAATTATATAATAAAATAGATAAAAAATATAATTGTGATTAATATTTAATACAAAAGTCACAGAAAAAGGCGGGAAAACGAAAAGAGTTGTATTAATTGCTAGCAATTATATAGATATATAGATTTATGTTCTACATTCATGCTGCTTTTTTTTTAACTATTTTTTTCCTTAACAGATATGACTAAATACCCGAATTTCACGTTACAAATAGCACATCAAAACTTCTCGATTTTTTTTTTTAAATAAATAAAACATCAAAAGTATGTCTATGATTTTTTAAAATACTATGTCAAAAAAAAAAAAGGATTTCTCAAATAATTTTTTTGTGTCTAATCGCAAAACATTTTGAAAAAATTCGATCCTTGCTGCCCATACAAAATTCAACACCACAGGAATCGTACACTATCTTGTGGTGGTGAAGCCCATTGGGCCCATGAGGGCAGTAATGAAAATTTGAACAGGCTTGACCCTCAAGCCCAGACTCTAAGCCCCACCTGTTTTCTGTCAGATTGCTTCATTTATGGTGGCATGTGCATTCATAGGTTATTGTTCAAGCTATTTAAATTGAAAAAAAAAAAAAATCTGAATTGGATAAGTTGGACCCTCTGTCACGACTTTTGGGACTTGCACTTTTGAATAAGTTGAGGGTCCTAAATTTGCCTTTATCAGATATTTTATTTATTTATTTTACCGTTCGATTAACACACACTCGCGGTAAAAGGCATTTCCCATGACAAGGGGAAATGCTACGATCCTGTTACGGTACCATCCCGTCGAGTGTTTTAACCATTGGATCCACATGTAGTTAGATAAGATAGATGATCCAACAGTTAAAACACACGACGGGATGACACCGTAAAGGGACCGTACCATTTCCCATATATAATTGTAAAAAATTCAGCTAAAATCCAGGCAAAACAAATATAATTGCACGACCGTGAAAACGAATTTTCGTCTATCCTCTCAGCTAGGAGGTTGTATTAGCAGTTCGTTGTGGATGCGTATACAATGATCGAAGGAGCTCGACTAAGATATATCCGATTTAACCAACCAAAACTTAGAACCGAATTGTACAGTCGTCTTAAGGATGATGTGTTGCGAGGAGACACCGATCCTGGTTCTCAAGGTAATCAGATTATACTGCCTTCGTCCTTTACGGGTGGCGCAAGATATATGATTGAGAACTATCAGGACGCGATGACCATATGTCGGTGGACCGATTATCCTGATATATTCATAACCTTCACTTGCAACCCTAAGTGGCAAGAAATCGGTCGTTTTCTCGATAACAAGAATCTCAAACCCGAGGATCGTCCTGACATAATATGTCGGGTATTTAAGGCTAAGTTGGACGCTTTGATGAGGGATGTCCGACATAACAAGATGTTTGGTGACGTGAATGCAGGTACATAATATTTTTTAATTTAATGTACTCAATGTATTTTTTTTACCAGGAATATTTTTTTTTTTGTGCAGCTATATACACGATTGAATTCCAAAAACGTGGACTTCCACGTGCCCATATCTTGATATTCCTTGCCAAAGCACACAAGATTCAGACCACTGATGGCATAGACAAAATAATATATACCGAAATACCGGATGACGCCACCGATCCATTATACTATGCTGTCGTTAGAGATTATATGATGCACGGCCCTTGCGGAACTGTCCGCCCACAATCTCCGTGTATGGTTAATGATTGTTGCACAAAGCATTTTAAGAAGTTCTCTGAAACTACGACCCTGGATGAGGAAGGCTATCCACGATACAAGCGTCGTGATAATGACAGGACCATAGAGAAGAACGACATTCCTCTAGATAACAGATACGTTGTGCCTCATAATAGAAAATTTCTCCTTAAGTACAGCGCGCACATAAATATGGAATGGTGCAACTAGTCGAGGTCCATCAAATATTTGTTCAAGTACGTGAACAAGGGAATGATCGCGTCACCGCTACCTTTTACGAGTCAAATGGAGCTGAGTCATTTAGCAGGCCGGTTGACGAGGTGAATATGTACTATGATTGTCGGTATATTTCATCTTTTGAGGCTGCATGGCGGTTGTTGGAGTTTGAGATTCAGTACAAATGGCCATCAGTGGAGCGCTTGAATTTTCACCTCGAAACGAACATCCTTGCTACTATGATGATGAAGTTCCGATCGATCAAGTGGTTAATAAAAATAAAAAGCGCGTTAGCAAATTCTTGGCTTGGATGTAGGCCAACAAGAAGTATCCCTCTGTTAGAGAACTTACATATGTCGAAGCTCCCACTAAATTTACATGGCATTCGGAAACGCAAAGTTGGGAGCCTAGGAAAAGAAACGATCGGATTGCGTGTTTTTATTTCGTCCCCCCTCCCCCCGGAGCTGGAGATATATTTTACTTGAGGTGCCTTATCAATGTTGTTCGAGGTGCAACATGCCATCGTGACTATTTGAAGTTGAATGGCGTCCAACACGATT